AATGGGAATCTGGAGGATTTTAAAACAGTACACGTGAGCTACGATAGTGATGTTCATGCGTTTAAAGAGCTTCAAAAGTGCATCCCGTTCCTCCGCGTCAGGTCTTCGACAAAGGTAGGCAGTGATTTCCTTTTCACAAACTCCCAGACTCTTGTATCGACTTCATTTTTCTGTTTGGTTCACGTTAGGGATTGTTATGGCTCTTGTTCATCATTGCATGCATGTGTGTGTAAGTGTATGAGGGAAAAGTGGCTAGGATTGCACAACTGTCCGTGTTTTAGGTTATGTGTTGTTTATTATTTTGCTTTATGTTAACTGTTTTGTTAAGTGCTTTGTTGCAGCTGCAGCTGTTGTGAAAGTGCTGTATAAATCAGGATGTATTGTATTGTGTATATGCATGTACGTGCATTAACGGTCGATAGATAGGTAGGTTTGGCTTGAAAAGCAGATCTTCTGTCAAAAAAAATGCTGGACACCCCAGACCGAAACAATGTGAAATTTTTCTTTTCTTTTTAAACCTGTATAATAGCCCCTCCCCCAATTTGGGATTTTGTGAGTATTGTTCATGGGATTTTACACTAACTGTGTTTATAACATGTTTTGCCTCCTATTGGTGGTGGGTCTGGAACTTGTACCCCTCGATTAACACGTGGTCACTCTGTTTTTATATCAGTAATTGTGAGAACTTCTGCACAGTGATGTGGTCAGTGTGAAAAGCCACAGACAAGTAAATGCAAAATCTACCCGTTTTTTTTTTTTTTTTTTTTTAAGACTTTCTGTGTAAAAGAGACTGTGGTCCAAGACGGTAACCTTTATTTTAGGTGCAACGTGCAAACTCAGCTATATCTGAGTTATCTGCCTTATCTGCCTTGTCAAGGTATCTCCTCGGTCTGCCCAACATCTGCAAGCCTACCAATACACTTCCAGGGACCATAAAATGCTCATTTAAGAATGGCCTTATAATTTTAAGTGGATGGTGGTAGTCCATCTTTTCCCGTACAGATGGTTTAAAGCTTGATCAACTCGAAGCTCACTTTGGAAAATTGCTGTCAATGTAAAACCCACAATACTTTACAGCTGTGGAAACAGGGCAGGCTGCCAGAGCGTTACAAAGTACATGCAAATACGGACTTCTCCGCTAAAGAGCTCCTGACACAGCGCTCATAAACGCATGGCAGCCCAAGAGACAGGCAGCAGCAGAGCCTCGAGGGACAGCTGTTTTGGGACCTTTTGAAGCTTATTGCACTTTTGGGGGGGGGGGGGGGGGGCATACATGTTTTCACTGAGTAAAGGAAAAGGGATTTATAGGCTCTGTCCTGTTCCTCCTACCTCCCCACGGTCCCAAACATAATCACAGCACAGAAGTTTGCAGCACAACTTGTAATAAAGTAGGAGCCACATGTTTGCAGACATGTTGGGATGTGAGAAGAAAGCTGATTAAAGGCCACTAACAAAGCCGTCCTCAACTTAGCTCGCACCACAGACCATCTTTGCAGAAAGACAAAAACAGATTATTGAAAATTCGACTTGGAGCCCGGGGTTTGTTCCTCTTCAACAAGCTGACACCTCAATTGTGTTAGTTATGTTGAGTTTACTCTGTAATTTGACACATTTTCAATATCCCGCTTAATGAAAATTTGATGTTGGATCTGGAACCCAGGTCTTCTGTGATGAGTCTTGCATCACTTTTTAGGCAGACAGAATGGAGTGGTGAGTGGCACTAAAGGCATTTTTAATACCACTACTGAAATTGTTTTCATCTGCAGCTTTCGTTTTCTTCAATGTTGTAGGTTCTTCTTCTTCTGTCTCATCATTTGGCTTTTTCTCTTTTCTGGAGATCTCACAAGTTTGTTTTTTAATACATTGCTCGCTTTTTCATTACCGTTTTAAGTAGCGGGTTGTCCCAGTCCAATCCCAAATTGAGGGCTGCTCAGCTGATTGGTATTGGATGAATAAGGAATGGAGCTGTTTTATCCCCCCCCCAACAGAGCAAGCTTCATGGTGGCATCTGCGCATTGACTGCTCTGCAGTGGGTGGTTTGAAATGGCCACAAGTTTTTGTGCTTGTCCACAGTTAGTCAAGTTAAAAGATGCAATGGAGTGACGTGGAAACATTTTTCTTACACGGCAAACAGTCAGGGTAAACCACAAGAGGGGGCTTTATAGTATCTACTCATTTTCTCCCAGAATCAAATCTATTCATAAGTGAACAAATTGTTCAGCGCGTTAGTGTTTCACTAGCACTCACATGCCCTAATGCCTTGACTCCGGCGAAGGATGTGGCAAACCTGCGGTCCTATTCTTAAACATCATTTATCTTCCCAAATCAGCCATCTAATTTAATTAGTTGAACCTACAATCCCTGTCTTTTCCATTATCACCACTTGATTAATTTGGGGGGGGAATATGAATAGAACGCTTGTATTCAGCCGACTAGCCCTTCCTTTTAAGAATGTGACCGTGCTTGATGAGCCAGCCTTTATTTTAAAAATTGTGGGAAAACCTTGCGTGTTTTTTTTTCCCCAGTTCCCAATAGAATGGAATTGGTGGCTTTCTAGGTAATTTTAATCACAATAACAGAAAGGGTAAACGATAAATTAAGGCAAGAACTTGTGGGCTGTACTCAGTTTATGATGAATTTCAGTTCCTCCGACTAATTCACATTTGTGCGCATGTCAGAATATGCTCTAGTCACTCATAATTGTAATCTACTTTGCCACTAACCTAAGCTAATACCGTATTGAAATCATCATAAAATGAAAAGTGTAACTTCTCGGCCATTAAAATACAATTTGCCTCACACCACTTTCGTAAGCCGTGTCTAATAGAAAAAGGGCTATACCATCATCTTGTGGCAATTTCAAACTTTCTTGGGTGGCGTCAAGAGGTTTTTACTATTTGCACTAGATTTTGATACCTAACACTGGAGAAGGCGGCTGTTTAATGTGTCTTTCTTGTGGCGACAATTTCAAAAAGAAATTCCCCCATGGCTTGTCTCTTGGCTCGGTGCTAACGAGATCATTGCACACCGTTTGTGACCTTGAATCCCTATTATGTCAGGAACGTTGTAAACCAAGGACCTCCGTATTTGGACAGATATCGACTCTGCCCTGCACTCATGGTCTGCCTGTTTATGATGATGTGAGCGTCTCGAAGTCTGAGATCCTGACACTCACGAGACTTGTCGCCGTACTGTTTCCTCAGTGCCCCATTGGCATGCGTCCATGCCATGTATGGCAACACACGATCCGCCTTGTTTCTTTGGCCTCGTATCGGGTTGCCGTGCGTGCGTTTAATGGAAATGCGGCCATGTGCAAGTCTTGAGGTTGTGTGCGTCCGTAACGGGATACTCGTGAGTTCCCCTTAGAGGGACTGATTGCTTTATTAGGCAGTTGACTGCAAACAAGCATCTGAGGACTGAGCTTTTCTCTTGGGTTTGCTGCCCACTAATTTGCGGATTGTTGGGAAGATCGTGAGTCGCTTTCAAATAAGTACAAATGAAATTAGATTGTTGAAGTTGGTTTTCGTAATGTGGAAAACATTTGTTAAGACTTCAATGAATAAGAGAGACGATAGGCACTTTTGAGAATAATAGATCTATCTATACATACGTCTCAACCTCCTTCTCCAACAGCGCTGGATTACCATCCCCATTCTGCAAGATGATGTACAGACCTACTTGGGTCTTTTTATCCGCGGCCTTGAGCCACGTTGTTTAGTGGCCACTTGCCTTTCACACAAAGGCTGCAAATTGTAAGGCCCAGGAAACCCAACATATGCAGCTGCACAGTCCATTATTATAGCCTAGAGAATTATGTGGTTGCTGTCGCTTTCTACTCAGTAGAACACATGTCCCAGGGAATCGGGGGGTGCGGGGGGGGGGGGGTGGGGGGGGGGGGGGGGGGGGGGGGGGGGGTGCACCATGTGGGATTGTGTGTGCACTCCTAGGGGGTGTGGGTGAACATGCCGAACGACTTGTATCTATAAATCTTTCCTGGCCCCGCTCCTGTTGTTGTGTCTCACACGTGCTTTTTAACTTGTGCCTCCCTTGGCTTGACGCTGACCTGTGGCGCCCTGAACTAATCGTAATGGCCATGGAAGGCGTTGACGTGATGGCCTCTGTAGCGTGCCGAGTGCACAGGACTGCAGGTCACCGGCCACCCACGGTGAGGTAAACATCATTCCCAACTGATGAAATACCTCCCTACTCCCAACCGCATCAACTACTTCGACAAGTAATTCCACAAGTGTGGGCTGCTTATTTAGTGCTAACACTAATCTGTGCAAGAAAAAAAACATTGCCGCTCTGCTTACATTTTGGCTTTGGTATGATAGGAGGGATGTCGCACCCATTGGAGATGATCCTACATGCAAGTGCCTCTGCATGATAGCATTTTAGATATTGTGGACCGAAATCGGCAGGTAACAAGATTGACCAGATTTTAAAACATTATTCTCGATGTATGTGCAGGCACTCTAATGGAGCAATTTTTTTGTATACGAACCATTTAAAAGTCAATTTTCCCTAAGGAAAACCTCTCCCTGTGAATTAGTCTCTCAAGAATGTCATCATTTTGGCTGATATTTCGGCAAATGTCAGTCTAAATTCCAGACACCATAGGTGAATGTGTTTTAGTTGTGAGTTTCTGCTACTGTCATGTTCGTCTTCCTACCTTTTGAACAGAAGAGCAGCTGTGTGTCTCCAAGGGAAGACCGGCAATCTAAGTAGGGGTGAAAGTTCACAACATGTAATTTTTAAGGATGAAAAACTGCTGCAACGACGTTTCAATCTGTTATGGAGAGAGAGGAAAATACAGTGACAGCTTAATTAAATAACAATGCTTCTCTGTATCCGTTTGTTTGTTGAGTCCATCAGTAGTGCATGATGAGTGGTGATTATTACAATTAAAAAGATACTTGTATGTGCAAATCAGTGCGGGTTTATTGCAAGTGTTTGGCTCAACAATGATGTCAACTCTGTTCACTGTTGTCTGTCTGCAGCGCCGTCAACAGTGTCCATCATGCACCAAGTGAGTCGCAGTGTAGACAGCATCACTCTCTCCTGGTCCCAGCCAGACCAGCCCAATGGAGTCATCCTGGACTATGAGCTGCAGTACTATGAAAAGGTACACATTTATTTACTGCCCGCATTGGTCAACTTGTTGCACTTCTTGTTATTCTCAACTAATAAAATCTCTCTATTTATTGCCGACTTCACTACTCAGCAGTGATGATTATCACTTAAAGTTTGAGAGTCACCAGTCAGAGAAAATTCAGAGGTCATTCTTGAAAATGGACAAATAAGTGGACCCAAGGTCGATCCTTGAGGAACACCTCCAGGCTGAAAGAAATAATCTGAGCGTTTCAAACAAAGACATTGTTACCGACTATGTAAATAACAACTACCACAATATGGCATGTTTAGATAGACCAGTAGCATTTAGCTTGTCTAACAAGTAGCGGTCAACAAGATCAAACACTTCTAAGGTCAACCAAAATTAAGTAAGTTTTGCCTGTTCTATTTAGAAAATATGTCATTTGTAACTTTAAAAGAGCAGTGGTTGTGGAGTACTTGGATCTGAATCCAAAGTGATATTGATGAGAATATATTATGAATGTTCAAATGATAATGTACTGTATTTGGTTACAATATTTTTTCCAATACTACTCCAATACAATAGAAAATTAAATTGAAATCGGTTTGTAATTATTTGGATCTTGTACATCATCACCATTATGTAAAAGAGTAATATGTGAACGTTTCCAAATGGTTGCATTTCGTATATGCACAGTAAAAGGTTAAACAAATCTGATAATGGAAACATCTTAATCCAAAATATTGTTTGCTTGTTTTTAATTTACTATTTGCAAATAAGACTATAGTTTGTCATTATTTGGATCTTGTACATCATCACCATTATGTAAAAGAGTAATATGTGAACGTTTCCAAATGGTTGCATTTCGTATATGCACAGTAAAAGGTTAAACAAATCTGATAATGGAAACATCTTAATCCAAAATATTGTTTGCTTGTTTTTAATTTACTATTTGCAAATAAGGCTATAGTTCACCTTTAAGTATGAGAATGGATGGAACAAATACTTAAGTTTCGAATGATTACTTTGGGAAAGACAGAACTTTATTTCCTAGTGGATCCCATTAGATTGAATAGCGCGCAATTGTATTACTGAGTGTTCTCACGTCAACTAAAAGAAAGGAAACCACATCGGGCCCTGCAGTCGAGCTGCCCAAGAGAATTGTAAGCAAAACAAGGCTGCGCTGCCTGATTCTCAACTTTTTTTTTTTTTTTTTAAATGCAAGCAGCATTCATTCTCAAAGGAACAGACCTAGCCTAGTAGTGCACTCACACGCGCAAACAAACAAGCGTAGGCACACAAGATAGGGCTGTCAAAACGATCGTCTGGGGCCCACCGCTGTGGCCCACAAGTGCACGCTGAGTGACGGCTGGACTGACGGGAAGCAGCTCAGACATGTCAGCATCCTGCACGAGGTTGCTCTGATGGTCACAAGACCCACGAATGACACCAGTCACTGCTTCTGCACTCTATGTACATTGATTATTGAGTTGCAGCAGTCCTAGTGCTCAACAGTTTCAGTAATGATGATTTCCATAATTTATCATTTAAAGTAAACATTAACGCTCATAAGAGATGAACTCATTCTTTCCCCTTTAGGACCAGTCAGAGTACAACGCTACTGTCGTGCGGAGCCAGACCAACACGGCGGTCGTCCGAGGCCTCAAGTCAGGCAGCATCTATGTATTCCAGGTGCGAGCACGCACCGTCGCCGGCTTTGGACGCTACAGCGGCAAACTGTACTTCCAGACCATGACAGAAGGTGAGCAGTCAAAAGCAGTTCTCGCCATTAAATGCCATGCCAACGCCAGCATTACACTCCCCTCCAAAAGTATTGAAACAGCAAGGCTAATTGCTTTATGTTTTTATGCAGACTGACAATATTTGTCTTCTTTCACATGAAGTGAGACGATAGTATATTTATCACCAACCACTTTAAATGCGAACATCAATATATTGCTTTGTTTTGGGGGTTGTTATTGCACTGGTGTATCTTATGATCAGGGATGGGCATTCAGTCAATATCGATACAAAGTCCATCAGTCTGTCACTGCCGGACTTCAGTTGGCTGGCAGACTGACAACTAACGGAAACCAACTGAAAGACTGATGGAAGCGATTTTTCAGCCATCACTCGAACCGTCACTAAACCAAAACACAAAGACAACCTTCAGCAAATATTTTTTTTCGGCACACGTTGACGTCCTGGTATGGCAACATGGAACTGACTATGTCGAGTCAACCTTTTTTCCAGGCAAAAATTTTACAATGCTAAAAACTGCATTTTTTTCCCCCCATAATGCCACGGGGCACTGGCTTGTGCATGCACAAGTCAAAAAATATTTTGGTTCTTTTCGGATCTGGCCTATATTTTACCAATATATTTGAAAACTAAGTATGAAAATATTTTTATTCATAATTTTTATGTTTTTATTATTATGTCTGCAGTGCATGATTTCCATTTGACATTTCTATCTATAATCCCATGACTTGCTCATGCAAACCTTTACCCTTATGAACAGTTTTTTACTGATGGTCCTAAAACAGCGGTGACGCACTGTAATTTAGCATGGATGGAAGCACAGTTAAAATAATGATGCCAATGTGATGGAGTGACGACTGGCTGGCCTGAAATAATGACAGGCTGACTGGCCAGGCGCTGGCGAATGACCAAACTTAAAGACAAAAATATCCCAAAAACCTGATGCGCTAGAAAAAAAAAGGCAGTTTCTAAATCAGCGTCAAAAATACAATTTGAGACTTCATAATTTTGTCTTTTGACTCCAGATTGGGTAGCATGGCGGGCCAGTTGATTAGCACAGCTAAGTGACCCTATTGAAGACAAGCGTAATAGAAAATGGATAAATGGGTGACTGGATCTTGATCGTGCCTCATGTTGTCGTCATGTACAATGTGCACAGTAAATGCTAATAGCCAATAGCAGCCGTCTGCCTTCAAGTCTTGGATGAAGGATCAGTTCTTAGTTTTCTCCACTTCTCTCTTTGCAATGCAGAAGCAGGAACATATTCATTACACTACATCGCTCATCTAGGTTAATGTTACAACCATTCGTGGCTCTTCTCTCTGAAAAGCTCATTTCCTTCAGCCCGCAGTTCCCAGGACCACCATTAGCCCGGAATGTCATACATCAACTTAGACACACACACACACATACCTCTCAACACACAATCTTCTTAGTGGTGATTTTACAGTCAAACACAGTATTATTTATTGTTTAGCAGCTGATTCTTGTGGTATGGATTTCATGTCCACTTTAATGTCACCCTCGGGTCGGACGCATTCAAAGCGATCGCAGGACCAGCTCGATGGTCTCTTCAGTGGTTAAACATGTACTCTGTCATAAAACAGCAAGATTCATAAATTTACAAGACGGTTGTTTTCTTCTAAAAGTTACTACTTTTGCTTGTAAAAGTTTCTCATTTTTGTGGTGAAATTGTACTTTTTTTTTTAAATTTAATTTGTAAAAATAATAACAATAATAAAACTTCTTTCACTTACAATGTTTTCTTTTTTTAATCTTCCTTTAAATGGACAGTATAGTTATTTTAAAAGTTGTGACTTTTTCTTTAAAAAATGTTTCAAATTCCAAACATTTGTTATGAAATTACAAATATATTCTGACTTTCATCTTGAAAAAGTAACTTATTAAAAAAAAAAGAAAAGAAAAAAAGAAATAGAATTATAATTATTACAATAAAAATATTTACCGGTATTGTAAAAACAATTACCTCCCGACATTTTCTTGTGAAAACCACAACTTTTTTTATTGCACAAATTACAACTTTTTGGGCCCTATTATGGTAGACTGGTGCCCGTGTGGTCAACGTCGAAATAGGCATAATTTTTACATAATTTTTGTGCCAACGCAATTCCTGTCTAGTGTGTTTGGAGCCGAGTTGCGCTCATCTGACGTGTCAGCACACGAAGCAGCTTCGCCTCTGATGCACCTGATAATGTGGCGACAGAAAGTCGTCTGCGGTTGGCGTAAAAGTGGCCGCATCATCATTTTTATGCTGGGATAATGGTTAAGTTGGACGTGCATGTGAATTTGGTGTTTGTGAATTTTGATGTGCTATGCCTCACTAGGCCTTCCTGGCAGGCTCCCCAGCGCATCTGCAAATTTGTTTACAAAATGTAAACTAGATTTTAAACTCGTTGAAATTAGGTTTATTTTCCAGTGCAAGTAATCTAACACAATTTTTGGTTTATTTGATCAAGGCTTAGGCAGACAAATCAGCGCTCTGTGGTGGACATCATGTATTTAATTCATAAATATGACAACAGTGGGGGTCAATCACTATGAGTCATTGTAGACATCAATTGAACGGATTGTATGTATTAAATGAATGTGCATGTTGACTGGGCATCCTTATCCCTAATATGAAAATTAATGCAAGCCTCAGTTGTACCTTTCATGGCGGTCACAATGCAATACAGCAAATTGACAGCCGAGACTTTTAGCTCAGGGGTTTGTTTTCTGTGCTTCCAAACTGAGGGCTGGGGTTTGGGTGGGGTTTTTTTTCTTTTTTTTTTTTTCTGCGGTATCAGGCACGGCGTACTCAGGTTGACCGCCCTGATTTTGATGCAAATGAGGGAACCCACGAGGATTGGCGGGGAAAAGTCTACTTCCATCCCTCTACAGCGCACAAAGGCGCAAACTGTACTAGGGCAAAGTCAAGCAAAATACTAAAATAAAGAAAACTCCACCAATGCGCACAGTTAGACTGCACTTTGTGCTAGATTTACACACAGCACGAAAGGGCCCTTCAGTCACGAAATGATGACTGTTGTATTCGAATTACACTATTCATCTTGTAACTTGTTTCTTATTACGTTCATGAATTATTAAAAAAAGAAAACATTTACAATTTTCTTTCTTGAGAAAAATATGAATTCCTTGTTCAATTATGTCTTTTTTAAATGTCTTTATTATTTGTGTATTTTGCAAATAAAATTGCAACTTTTTTTGGTAAAAAAATCTTTTTTCTAGCTAGAAGTCAAGTTTTTCTTCAAGCGAAGTGACTCGGTAAAATGATTTTTTTTGTATTGAAAACCTTTTACCCTTTACTTTTATCTTGGCAATTTTTTGATTTTTTTGCATCTGAAGATGACACTTGTTTCTTGTAAAACTGATGAATCTTTGCACTAGCTATCATACATTTGAATTTTCTTACAAAAATTATAACTGCTTTCTTGTGAAAAGCATTATTTGACATTTACATAGTTCTTCAAAATTTGCCACTTTTTTTCCTCCAAACAATTATCACATTTTTCTTGGGGGGGTGGGGGGGAGACCGGGGCAGGAATTTTCCAATGAACACGTGTGTCTCTTTGTTCCCGGCAGCCGAATACAACAGCAGCATTCGTGAGAAGCTGCCCCTCATCATCGGCTCGGCAGCAGCGGGCCTTGTCTTCCTCATCGCTGTGGTTGTCATCGTCATCGTGTGCAATCGGTGAGTCTCTCACACATGAATATGTTTCATTTTTACTTTTTTATCAGGTTCCAAACAGCAACAAGCTGTTAAATCGACACTGTATCATAATTGCTTAGAATTCTTTATACATATGCCAGTAACAATGGGTTTTTTTTTCCTACCACGATGGTTGCAGTACATTATTGTGATCTGTCACCACGGAAAGTATCCTGATACTGGTGATGTGTGTTTCGTGGCGTTGATCGAAAATTCACTAAAAGCTTCAAGCTGTTTATCACTACTCTCAGATGAAGTTGACTGTCAAAGTAAACATCAAACAAAAGAATTACACATTGTGTGTTTAAAACAACCACATAGCTTAGCTTTCCAGTCTGCTGGCTTAATGCTAACCCTACCATCATAATGGAAAACAGCATAGACAAATAGCATCTTTGTAGCCATGGTATCACATTTTAAACAATGCATATTTGAACACAAATAGTGGAGCAAAACACGTATCAAGACAAAATAATGATACTCATGTCTGGCCAAAACCTCCCTATGTCCAAATTTAGTCATTTTATTATTCTTCAGATATTGACACCGTTGGTTAGTTTTACAAATCATTGACCAGTTTAAAGTGGTGAAAATGGTTTACTCCCCATGATGATGAAACAATGTTAATGGCATAACAAACATGGTGTTTTTGTTTTGCAAAAGTTAGGGTTTTATTGATCCAAGGATTCCGCCAAGCGCTTGCGATATCTTCTTTGTGCTGACAAATATTCCAGTAGTGTACTGAGCAGTCGTGACCGTCTTCCTCATCTATGCGGTGGACCGTGTGCCTATCCCCTCGCTATTAATGTAGGATAGGCTGGCCCTCGAAGACTGTAAATCCGCATATAATTAATACCTATTATAAATGCATCCAATGTGGTGGGGGAGGTGGAATTTGGAGTTTGTATAAAGGCAGAAATCCACAGAGGAGCTCTGTTGCAAGTTTGGATCTGACTCCAGCTCACCTGCCTGATTATTATTCCAGATTTTTCTTGGGGTCCATAAAGGTCCCAATGATGCGTCATACAAAGTGTGACAACGGCTGCACTGTATCCTCATTAACGCTTCTTAGCAACTGTCAGTGTCTTCAAGGCAGCTGCTCTGTTGTGACACACAAAAGGCTTTGATATGAGAAAGACGCTTTGCCAGTTTTAAATTAGGAGTTAATTCTTTTACAATTATGACATTTTTCTTTTAAAGATTGCATCTTTATTTTCTTGGCAAAGTTATGACTTTTCATGTAAGAATGCTGAGCTTTTCTTTAGAAAATGAAATCTCATAAAATCACATTATAATTCTCATAAACATGGTAAAAATGAAAAAATAAGTGATGTAAATAATGAATTTTCTTGTAAAATTATAAAATATTCTTTTCAAACAATGACTAGTGAAAATACATTCTTATTCTTAAAATGTTGACTATTAATATTATGACTGTTTTTACATTTACAATCGTCATCCTGTCACTTTTTTCCCCTCATCCTATAAAATGTTTTTTTCTTGTATCAAAGTGTCTGTAAAAAGAACAAAAGTTGTCGAAAGTGGAATTGTAATTCTTGTCATTTGTCATAATTTTTTTTTTTAATTCATGACTTGGTGCTTCAAAAAAATCAGTTACAAAGGCTTACAATAATATTATATCTACTTTAAAGTACCAAAGCTGCTGCCTTATTTTCAATGACTAGTTTGCCCTACTTGACCACTGCATTTTTACTTTGGTCATTTACGTCGCACTCTGAGAGTTTCATATTTTTTTTAGCGGATACATCTGTAAAAAGTTCGGGAACCACCGTGGTCGAGTGAACACGCAATTTTGCACCTGCTATTGGGCATCAGAGCAAATCAAGCCTGACGTGACTTTTTCAAGTAAACATGAGGACTTAAAATTGCTAGTTTTTAATTATAATCCCCCCCCCCATAATATTACAACTTGAGCCCTCCTGAAATGTTGACACTTTACCCATAATTTAGCATGCTTATTCTTGTGTTGTTTTTCATTTTAGCGTCGCGCTTGTACGCCTTTGTAGCTTGGCAGTTCACACCGAGTCCGAGAAAAAAAAAAGTATCCACTTGACAGCCTGTCAAGTACCTCACAGTTTTGAAACTGTGAACGTGCCATTGGGGGGAGCATATATCCCCCCCCACCCCCACCCCCCTCTCTGTCTTTCCACCAGCACTAGAGTTCTTTGTCTCTCCCCCAGGAGGCGTGGCTTTGACAGGGCCGATTCCGAGTACACAGACAAGCTGCAGCACTACACCAGTGGCCACAGTGAGTAAACCCCCACTTCTCCCAGTTCCCCGTTTTCCTGCATTTATCACTGCACCCCACCGCCCCTCTCCTACTTCTGCAACACCTGTCACCATGACTACCGTCTCACAGCGTCGTCTCCATCAACGATCACGCCTCTCGCGCACACACCTGTCTCCATGGCTACCATATCCCCACCAGGAGCCCCAACCACTACCCGGCTCTCCAGCGAGTAATCCCACTTGTTGTTGGAGGAAGGGTTTAAGCAACGTCCATATCGGCATGCGTCGTTCATATTTTCATCATTAACTCGAGGCATTGTTATGAAAGTAGGTCAGCCCCTCACTCATGTTATAGAGCCATTAGCGGGCTAATGCCGCGCAAGTCATTTTCCATTGATAAAATATTCAAAAGGTTCGGTGAGTCGATGTAAAGCCCCTCCGCCATGCAGCTTACGGGGGTGAAAATGTGAGTATGAAACCTCAAGATCGCAGGCATCGAAGATATTACGGCGTCTTTGTATTGTAAATGCTGCTGTACGCTGTACTGTACGCTGCATGGTGGAACAATTATCACATATAATTTCTTTACTAAGTGCCAACTGCGGTATTCGGCAACTGATATATGCGTCATGGCAGTACAAATATAAATATTTTTTAAAAATGTATGAGAATTTTGAATTCATTTTCATTTCTTGTTTTTTTAATTATGACTTTCCTTTTAGAAATGATGACAATTTCCTGTAAAATTACAATGGAATTATATTTAAAGTATTCCTTTTTTCACTTTTGTGTAAAATTACCATTGTTAGGATTTCCAGATTGTGACTTTTAATGTTTAATGTTAACAGGGATCAAAGTTAGTCTTGGGATATGCGTCATGGCAACATCAAGTTTTACAGATCGTAATCAAAATCCGAATGTGAATACAGTACTTCAAAATGAACTTTTTTCTTCTAAAGTAAAAAGAAATTCTCATCAAATGACAACAATTCTTTTAAAATTATGACTCAAAAATCTCAGGACTGGGTTTGGGTAAAAATTTGGAGGAAGATAAACATAGTCATGCAGTATCATTAGAAATGTATACATAAATAGACTGAAATAAATTTGGATTTAGACGGTAAATATCACTGGCCATTACAGTGTAAATCCAGCCATTTCCCATTTGACGTATTTCAGCATTTTAACGGGGAGAAAAGATTCAGTGCCCAACTAGATTACTTCCATATGACATTGCGAGCCTCTCATGACTCCGCAGTTGCCCAGGCACGAGCCCGGGATCCACTCAAACAGCCTCCGGGCCTGACACGGAGGTGAGAGGCAAATAATCGGATTTAAAACTCAGGAGCGTTTTAGTCGGCGGCTACTTAAAGGCCACCTTAAGCCAATTTACCTGGCAGCAGGGCTTAGGTGAGAGAGAGAGAGCTCAGCGAGACTCTCAGCTGTGATAACGGCACACGGGAGAGATGACAAATATATATTTATATTTCACCCCATGTCGCACATTATTACTGCAAAAAGGCCTGAAGGGGCTGTGTCCTTGCTGGCTAAATGAGTTACAGCCTTCAGGCTGCAATGGAGCACGTCTGCAATAATTCAAATGACTCTTCCACCACCAAAAGCATGCGAGAATTCCCTGTCGATTTTTTTGTTCCCCATGTGAAATCAATCAGTAATACATCAAGTACTGTTAAGTTACTAGTACCACGAGTGGCACGCGGCCTTGATTGAGTCTTCATTTCAATCAGCATACATCGAAAATCAAATAAATGAGGGCTTCCTCTACGAGAGTACTACAGAAAAGAAACATTGCCTGATAGTACAGTTCAGGTGTTCCGTGTTTAACTGTATGATCCAGCATATTGGCATTTAATCTTTAATTAGCAAAGTGACTAGCCATCTTGGTGGAAACCTGTAATTTGCACATCAAATCCCCAAAACAGCTACATTCACAAGAAAACAATTACTGACAAACGTATATGACCCATTTATTATACAGACGCTCCTCAGCTAACGAACGAGATACGTTCCGAAGGATCGTTCGTTGGCTGAATTCGTACGTAAGTTGCTTCAGTGCTATATTTTGTATGGAATGCATGTTTAAGGCTTATATAAGTATGTTTAAGGTTTATATAAGTATAATAAAATGAAGTTTAACTTACTTTTGGAAGATGGACTCGAAGGCTTCAGGAGATGATGGAGGGGGAGAGAGTTCCGTCTCGAACTTCTTCATGGGGACAGGCGTTTCCTCCTCCTCCTCCTCCTCTCACAGCGCCTCACGTCGGTATTAGCGGTGGAAAGAAGTACGACAGTACTCGGAAAAAGGCGCGCAATACAAAATCTAACTGACAGCATCTCTGTCCGAGAACATTTTTCGACATACCTGTACCCGCAAAAATGTTCGTATGTACCGTTGTTCGCAACACGAAAGTTCGTAAAGCGGGGAGCGCCTGTATTGTCTACATTGTTCTTCTAATGAAAAATGTTTAAGTCATAAAATGCATCATGACGAAGAAAAAGCATATGTTGCTCCCGAGTAGAAGTCGCATTTTGGAGGGAATTTTATTTTACACACACACACACACACACACACACACACACACACACACACACACACACACACACAAAGATATCAAAAGGCACACGAACTGACCGGCATTCTTTCTTTGGCCAAAATGCAATGCGGCATTCTAGTTAAGGTAAGCCATTTTAAACTAAAAAGAAAAACTTTTCCAGAGATGGAAGTAGAAGTTTCGAAACTAACCGTAAATCGCCGCCTACTGTCAACGCAATTAGGGACCACGGATTTAGGGTGCCTGTCTGAGCGCCAATTTTAATATATACAAGTCGTTCCTGAGTTTAAATCACAACACCAGCCAGACTATGAAAAAAAAAAAAAGGTGTGTCTAATAGTCCAAAAAAAACACATTAATTTCAAGTAGTCCACTTAGAGCAACTTAATAATTTGGGCCAATATGAGCTAATTGGTGGGTATCTTTGGCTGGAACATATCGGTTCATCGAAGAAGGGATTCTCCAGCGTAGCAGACAAAATTAAAGGATTGATTGTAGCTGTGGACATCCATACAACAACGTTAAATTTGGCGGAAACCTTTATGGGGGGAATACTGACCATGTTTTCAGGTTTCAGGATATTTCTTGAAACCTTTTAGCAACTCGCAGCAATTCGCGATACAAATCCGTTTCCAACCGAATTCCTCAATGTGCAGAAACCCAATATGTGAGTGTCTCTCCCTGTTTTCCAAGTGACTCCAGGAATGAAGATCTATATTGATCCGTTCACATATGAGGACCCCAATGAGGCCGTGCGGGAGTTTGCCAAGGAAATTGATATATCCTGCGTGAAGATTGAGCAGGTCATCGGTGCAGGTAATGGGAAGTGACGTAAAGAAAAAATCAAATCACTCTCGCCCGTCGCCATGGTACAAACATGTCGTCTCATGGATGCAGGGGAGTTCGGCGAGGTGTGCAGTGGCAACTTGAGGCTGCCTGGCAAGCGGGAGATGTTTGTGGCCATCAAAACCCTGAAGACGGGCTACACGCAGAAGCAGCGGAGGGACTTTCTCAGTGAGGCCAGCATCATGGGCCAATTCGACCATCCCAATGTAATCCGCTTGGAGGGCGTGGTCACCAAGAGCAGTCCTGTGATGATCGTCACCGAGTTCATGGAGAATGGATCTCTAGACTCCTTCCTCAGGGTGAGTGATGAGCCACTTTTACATGGAATTGCTGCTGAAATCTACCAAGTGAAACATGTACTCGCGCGTCCAACCCAAAAGTCGAGAGCAATTGTATTTCATGTTTTATGTGACATAGATTTTCTGCTTTCGGTGGTAATATCCATCAGTTTGGCTGACGGTATTCAAGCCGTAGCAGAGGTCTGACGGCGCCTGTGGAAGTGATGTGAAGATAAACACCTTGCGGTCATCTATCTCGCCACTTTTGTCACAAACAATTGAATTTTTATTTTAAACATCACATTGACTCCACATACTACTTTTTCTTTTTAAATAACTAGATGTAATGTAACGAATGTGAGCAACTAAAAATACGGATTGAAAGGGTAGTAATGGAGTTAATAATGACATATCATAATTGTTTATTGTTGGTTTTGTTACAATTCTGTTTTGGGGAGTGGGTCAAATTTGAAGAAAAAAAAAGGACTCCACATTAAAAATACAAGCATATTTTTCTTAATTATGTCCAGAAAAAAAACATTGGATGCGAATATTTTTCAGTTTTTTAATTATAAATTGAAAATCAGACTCAAGACCGCGCTCCTGTTCTGGATATTCAACTATTGACATTTTATATGCCAATAACACTTATTAAGGTCACCTCCCCCCAAAAAAAGATATATTTTAAATAGATAGATAGATAGATATGTCGTATATAAAGCAATACCACCCATTTGTGTCTTCTCTAACGTTATTCAGGCTATATTGAGGGAAAACGGGCTATTTTTTGCTGGCATGATGGCAATGAAAGTCCACACAAAGTGCGGCGCGCAATGTGTAATTGTGAGGGTGCATGCCATGCATAATGTATGACGCTTAATCGCCGGCACGAGGAGCTTTCGACTTGACGTGAGAAGCGTGAGGAGAGGCTAACAAGCAGCAAAGCGTGAAAGACAAGTAGGCTACTGGAGCACTGGCACAGACTGCTAATATGGACGCCCACTGTCCCTCCCTCATGAGTGCGATCCTCTGGAATCTTCTTATGTACATGCGTGTGTGTGTGTGTGTGTGTGTGTGTGTGTGTGTGTGTGTGTGTGTGTGTGTGTGTGTGTGCGTGCGTGCGCGTGTGCGTGTCTGTGTGTGTACAATTCCAAATTCATCAGAAGAGTAAAATAGAGATATCTGAATATCTACTGTAAAGTCCTGGAGCAAAGTATGTATTTCATTACATCCCACAACTGCCAATGGGAGGTGGCAAAGTGACAAAGGTGCACAGCTGCAGCGCTTGCTCCAGGCGCCATGCTTGCGCCTTAAAGCACTTTACCAAATGATGAAGGTGAGGGGTGGAGCGGGAGTGACAGCTGTAGACTAGACAGGCATCCAGACCAAGCTTAACGGTGGCCAGGCCTGCAGAGCACACACAAAGACAAACTTTTCTCTCGCTGTGGTGCCTTTTTTTTTATTGCATATATGAAAGTAACCTTTGTGCGCTAAAGTTTGATGCATTTGGTTGCTGGTCAAGATAAAATGTCACAAATAATCATAATAATGACCTTAATATAGTATGACTGAGATTTTAAATCATTTTTAGATGGGTTGTCAAGAAAAATCAACATTTGATCCACCAGCACACTCAATTCCATCCAGTAATATTTTTTTTGACCTTCTTATGTTGCTCTTAGAGGAGAGCAATATATATATATATATATACATACATACATACATACATACATACATACATACATACATACATACATACATACATACATACATACATACATACATACATACATACAGAGAGAGAGAGAGAGAGATGTCAGAATCAGCTTTAATGGCCAAATATGTAGAAGACACAAGGAATTTGTCTCCGGTAGTACAGGCTACACTAGTATCATCAATAACAAGCAACTACGATAAACAAGGACATGACATAAGTATGGAAAGACAATCCGTCATGTAAGTGTACCATTGTGCAGTAGTACCGCCCAATGACAGCTGTGAAACAATGTGCAAAGTATCAAGCAGAGCTAAAGATCAGTAGTAGAACACAATACAAAACAATTGTGCAGTTGGTGCTGATAATCATTGCACCATTTGAGAGGGGGAGAGAGAGAGAGAGAGAGAGAGAGAGAGAGAGAGAGAGAGAGAGAGAGAGCGCGAGAGAGAGAGATTTTTTTTTTTTTTAAATGATGTCTTGCACGGCTTGGGAACTTGTTCCACTGTTGGCGGTTGTATTAACAAGCAGAACAAGTTGAATCTGTGACAAGAGCAACGTTATGAACTGGTATCCCGGACAAGAGTGTTTTTGTGATTATGTAAACTGAACAAATTGTAAGGACACATTTTCAGAAATGGGAAAATAACCCAGAGATGAAAGTCCTCCGGATTTTCCCGGAATTCCGGGTTTTTCAAATTTTTATGAAAATCTGTGCGGAGAATTGAGGAAAATTGGCCAAAAATTAATCCGGATATTCGTTGACAACATTGAACGAAGACACGTTTGAGTTTGTTGTTTTGCTTTTACGAGCGTAGCCATGTTGAAACACTAACACTAGTAACAGTAAAGAGATTTTCGTCTCTTTATAAACACACTTGCTAAACCCCAGTGGAACGAACAAAAGACACCGTGGACAAAACAGTTGTCGTAAAAAATATATTTGGACAAAAAGGGAAACACACAGATTGAAAACGATTGTCCGTCCGACTTCGAGTGTCGTCTAGCTTAGTTTAGCTGTTGTCGTGTGTGACGTCGGGTGTGTGACGTTGTTGCGTCAAGCGCTGATTGGTTGAAATCAAAAGACGTGCTTGCGTAAATGTTCGCGCTGACGCACGCACAGCAGAGAGCAGCGGACAAGCTAGAGTGGCGTCGCCACAACAGTAATAATACCCTCGTCTCGCATTCTCATGGCCTCGCCATATCTCTGAGATTTCGAAATTTCAGCGAGAACGGGAGCCACCAAGGGTGCATGAGCCCAATCACTTAACTTGATTTGCAGGCCCGAGCCCGAAGCAAACCCGTGATTTCATATTTTATTTGGGAGGACTCGGGAGGAGGAGGGGTGATTTCTGATAACAAAGCCTGTCTTTTGGAACGAAATCTAAGTTAAACAAGACTGGATAAACATTTACATTTATTATATTTCTGTTTCTGAAGAGGTTACATTAACGGACAATTTTCCATCATTGACGGATTTTTTTTAAGAGTGGACGGGGAAAATTTAAGGCCGTCCGTCATTTTGACCAGTTGAAAATTGGGCCATTCACCACAGCAGTAATACGTCCTTAAGAATCGAGCGCGGCACTTGAAGAGAGAGAAGCAACGAGACAAAAAAGAACAATGACGGCTGGATCATAAAGATATGAAGGAGTTCTTTGAATT